AATGTTTATTTATTTTTGGGACAGAGAGAGACAGAGCATGAATGGGGGAGGGGCAGAGAGAGAGGGAGACACAGAATCGGAAACAGGCTCCAGGCTCTGAGCCATCAGCCCAGAGCCTGACGCGGGGCTCGAACTCCCGGACCGCGAGATCATGACCTGGCTGAAGTCGGACACTTAACCAACTGCGCCACCCAGGCGCCCCTGTGCGGTGGTTCTTAAGGGTCTTCCGTCTTTGTTTTGTTTTCCCTCCTGTGCGTGTGGGCCTCCGTTTTCTAGCTGGGAAAAGTAAGGCTCGGGTGGCGACGGAGACGGTGGAGCTGGGAGGCCGCGTGATCTCACGCACGCACATGCCTGCATGCACACGCACAGGGCAGGACTGGAAACTACCCCTTCCTCCCGGCACGGGAGCCCCCTGACCTGCGCCGCCGGGTCAGGCGTGGATCTAACGGGTGGATCCAGTCCAGGTCAGGCACGCGGCCGGCCTTGGCCCCTGACCCGTCTGCCTGCCATTTTCTTGCAGAAATTGTTAGACGCCCACGAGGAGCAGAACATTGACAGCTACACCGAAGCGGTGAGTGGCCGTGGCGGGGCCCGCCCTTCTCAGACACAGTCTCCTGGGAGTCCCACCCACCCTTTCTCTGGCCCCGGCCCCGGCTGTGAATTCCTTTGTTCAGTCACCCCAGAATTCTCCCAAGGAACCCCAGAGGTACAGGGAGGTGTTCTCCCCACATTAGAGATGATGGCAGTGAGGTGCGGGGACTCGTCCTCGGCCCCTTGGGGGCAGAGCTGGGATGCAGACCCGTGTGTGTCTGCCCCTGAAGGCCAAGGTCTTTGCGGCACTCGGTGCCCCAGGTGAGCAGCTGGGAGGAGCAGGGAGGGAGGGGGACGCATCGTGGAAGGGCTCCCTCTTCCAGCACCAACCTCCGTGACAGAACCACCCCACGGAGGTGTTTCTTCCTTTCCATACTCTGTTCTGAACATTCTGGAACTCTGTTGGGCCCAGGTCAGGTCCTGATCCAGTCGTCTGGACTGCATCTGTCAATCACGTTTCCTGGGGGCCCTTCAGGAATCCTACACCGCTACCGATGACGGAGACCAGAGTCCCTCCGGTCCATCCTGCCCCGGGCGGTGGGTGGGACGCGAGGAGGATAAGCCACAGAGAAGGGAGAAGCAGGGCCATGGCAGGGCGACAGGCCCCCATCCCCGTGGCGTCCGGAACAGGCCGCCCTCACGCAGCCTGGCCTGTTTCCCACCCAGAAAACAAGGAAGCTGGACCGTTCTATGCCACAAAAATCCTTTCTTTTCCCCAAGGCAGCCTTAGAGGGAGCCCCCCTCCCCTCGCTCCTCCTCAGGGAGGCTGGCCGGGAAACACCCAGAGAACCTGGGACTGGGGACAAGGAGGGCGTCAGGGCCGGCTGTGGGACCGGCGCCCTCTGCCACCGCCCCCACTGTGTCGCAGGTGAAGGAGTACGACTCCATCTCCCGGCTGGACCAGTGGCTCACCACCATGCTGCTTCGCATCAAGAAGACGATCCAGGGTGACGAGGAAGACCTGCGCTAAGCGCCCCCAGCCCCCTGGCACCCGTCCTCCTGCCCCGTCTTCTCTACCCCCGCGCCCCTCCAGCGCGTGAGCCCAGAGACGTGGGGCCGAGACCTTGGCTGCGAGACCTCCCCTCCCTTCCCGCAGAGGAGTCTCCCCAAGCCGCGGTGCGGGCTCAGCACTGCCGCGGGGCCCCCGAGGCTGGGCCTGCCGGCCGGACAGTCCCCCTCTGTTCTCGCTGCACCCCCTCGCCTCCTGCCCGTTTATTTAATCCCCCCCCCCCCCCCCAGAGGTGCCCTTCTCTGCCCCAAACACAGAACCTCTGACACAGACCTGTTTGCTGTGGGTGCCGCCAGGGGTGGGGGGTCAGCATCTGGTCCCCCGCCTCCTGACCGGCTGAGTCGCAAGACTGGCTTCGGTCTCTCCCACCTGCCCTCCAGCCGAGCCCTGAGCACACGTAGCCGCTGAGATTTGCTCTCCCCGTGGGGGCAGGCTCCTTCCCCTCCGGTGCCGGGAACCCCCACGGCGTCCTGCAGCCCTGACCTCTCAGGATAGACCGCAGGCCCTGGAGCTCAGAGGGCCGTCCCCGCGCCCACCCTGACATCTGCTCCTTCCCTAGTGCTTTGAGGTTTTGTGGTCGGAAGCTGCAGCTGGCCTGAGAAAGAAAAATAAAAAAGAACACTTCGCATGAGTCTCTCTTCCTCCTCACCTCTGCTGCCCCGTTGTGTCTCCGGGGCTGGTGTCCTGTCTCCCTTCCCGCCTGGTCCCCACCCTGGGCTCTGGGCACACTCTGTGGGGAAAAAGAGGGTGAGTGTGACCGGGATCCTGGGCTCAGGGAGGAGCCGCGGGCTTGGCATTCTGGGCGCACCTGCCTCGAATCCACGTTCTCCGGGTTCTGTGGGCCTCGGTTTCCTCCCCTGGGACAGTGGGGGGCCGCGTCAGCCTCAGCCGGCTGGAGGGATGGAAGGCACCCTTACTCAGCAGTAAGGGTGGGAGAGGCCCACTGAACCTCTCGGCCTCCCCTCGTGCCCATGTTGCCCTGAAAGGAGGGTTGAAAGCCCCGGTGGCATCTGTTGGGGCCCGCTGAGCTCACAAGAAAAGGGAGGAGACGACTTAGGTAGGCAGGGCATGAGGACGACCAAGTGGGTATCGGAAGGAACCACAGGAGTGGCCTCGGAAAGCTTGGTCAGGACCACCTGCCTGAAAGCTTGGTCAGGACCACCTGCCTCGTCCACACCCCACGATGTAGGCATGTGTGTTGGTGAGCAGTCTGATGTGCTTGCACTGCCCCAGGCATGGGGCTGGGCCCTCCTGGGGGGGGGGGGGGGGGGGCAAAAGGGGGGGGCGCCCCCCCCCCCCCCCCGCCCCCACCCCGGGGGGGGGCAGGGAGTGGGGGGGGGAGGGGGGGTGGGGACAGGATGCAGAGGCGGGCCTGCCCGGGAGACCCAGGTGGAGACCCACCCTCAAAGAGGTGCTCCAGACGACGGCCTGGAAGAAGTTCAAGAGAGGTTCAGGTTCATGGTGTCAAGGGAGTGTGGACCATGACACCCTGCCCTGCTCCTGTCCCCTTCAGCTCCTCCCACAGCTCCAGGGGACTGATGATGGCTGCCTAGAACTCAGTTCTAAGGTTCCTGAGAGCTGAGATCGATTGCTGACGTCTGCTGTGGGCACAGGCTGAAGGTAAGTGGTGCCTGAATCTGTTTCTGCCGTCAGTGACCTAAACAGAGAGTCTCAACCCTGGCTGTGCTGAAAATCATTAAAAGTACACAGGCTTGGGGCACAGCACAATAGACTGGGATTTGGTTGAAGTTCTCCACTCTTCTGGGGGTTTTTGTTTTTTCCTGAAAATTCCACAGCTGATTCAAATTCGCCGCTAGAGGCGGAAACCATTAAACAGGACAATTCTTTCCTTTCAAACCTATAGCTTCCATTATTCACTCAACAGATATTAAGTGAATGTAGTTTAGAGGTTACCACGGGACACAGAGGCCTGAAGAAAACATTGTTCAGAAGCAGAATTAGACCCCACATTCTACTCAGCAAGTATTTACTAAGCACCTACCGTATGCCATGCCTGGTCTAAACCCTGGGAATACAGCATTAGCCACATATCCAGACCCTGCCCTCCTGGAGGTTTTACTCCCCAACTCCCCACATCCCAAAGTCTGGAGCTGACATGAAGCCCCTCTTCACCACCCTCCAGATCCTATGTGCCTTTGAGCACTTTCCTCTTACATTTCCTTTGTAACAAGTCCTCGTTGGGGCGCCTGGGTGGCTCGGTTGAGCATCCAACTCTTGATTTTGGCTCAGGTCATGATCTCAGGGTCGTGGGATCAAGCTCTGCATCGGGCTCCTCGCTGAGTGTGGAGCCTGCTTGGGATTCTCCCTCTCTCCCTCTCTCTCTGCCCCTCTCCTACTCCTGCTCTTCCTCTCTCAAAAAAAAACAAAACAAAAAAAGTTGTCCACTGTGCTTGGCAAAGGGCCTGGCACAGAGTTTATGGATTTTTAACACATATTTACTGAATGCTTACTTTATGTCCGGACTTGTGGTCCAGGTGCTGGGGATGTAACTGTGACCAAGGGAGATCCAGTCACCGCCTTCACGGATCTTGCAGTCCTCGTGCATCCGCGCACACGCAGGCACGTTTCTGCAGGGTGGGGTGGTGGTGACAAGTTTACTCAATGTGGCCACAACAGTTGGACAACTCATGTCTACTGGAAGTGATTTTCTGGTGTATACAGAGTGCCCAAACCCCTGATGCCCTTCTAGGGACCAAAAAAACCCCACATAGGAACCCCTTGAAGACCCCACAGTCAGAAACACCTGGTTAAGGTCCAGTCTCCACCATTTTCTAGCATCTCGGGGCCACGATTTCATCCTCTACACACTGGGAGAAGCAACTTCTTGGCGGGGTTGCAAGGATTCATTGAGATAAATGAGCACTTACTATGCTCACTTAAGCGTTATCGCGCACTTACTGTGTCCCAGCACGTAAACGCTGAGTCGATGAACGCGGGTTAACCATAGCGGGGTGGTTGTCAGCATTCAGAGATCATCTGGGCCAGCATGACTAGCAGAAAGGTATTCAGTAAAGGAGGTGCCAGGACAAAAGGCCAGATCCTTTTTCCTTGGCTAAGCATGCATTTCACCATTTTAAAGGTAACGTGATTAAAAGAACTCTGGGACAGTCTTGTTTGGACTCTACTTCTTAGCGAAGCTGTGTGATCTTAGACAAAATGACCTCCTGCGTCTGGATTCCAGCCTGTTCGTGGGTTTTAAGTCAATCGACAGAGCCAAAGCGCTTAGAACAGTTCCTGGCACGTACGGACTATATTGAGTTGTATGACTCTTATTGTTCTACCTGCCACACAACCCACAGCGAGGGCCACCACCTCCCAGCTTCAGGCCACAATCAGCCAGCAGGCCCCTCTCCGGGACTCCGAAAAGGAGCGGGGAGGAGCGCGCAGGCGCGATGGGGGGGTGGGGGTGGGGTCTTCAGGGAAGCCCTGGCAGCCCGACGGGTGGCCATCTTGGTAAAGGGCAACGACGCCAGCTGCTCTACGTCATCAGTCTGCGCGACGGGCGAGCACCCGGCCGTCCGGGTCGTTTCGGGAGCGGTGGGTGGGGTGGGGTAGGGCGGGCGGCGGCGGGCGCTGCCGGGGCGAGTGGTGGAGGGGCGTGATGGGGGAGGCGGCCGTGGCCGCAGGGCCTTGCCCGCTGCGCGAGGATAGCTTCACGCGCTTCTCGTCGCAGAGCAACGTGTACGGGCTGGCGGGCGGCGCGGGCGGGCGCGGGGAGCTGCTGGCCGCCACCCTTAAAGGCAAGGTGCTGGGCTTCCGCTACCAGGACCTCCGACAGAAAATCCGGCCCGTGGCCAAGGAGCTGCAGTTCAACTATACTCCCGGTGCGTGGCCCCAGGGGGGGGGGGGGGGGGGCGCCTGGAACGTGGTGTTGAGAAGGCTTCTGAGGCCCTGAGCTGGGTCCCCATGATAGGAGAATGGGATCCGGGTGATTGAAAGGGGTGAAGGCTGATGATCAGGAGGCATTGGTGTCAGTGGTTAGGGTTCAGGATTCCTCGTACCGTGGTTATGATGATCAGGACTCACATGGAGCCAGAAGTAATGATAATTGCAGAGATGGTCGGAGATTAGCGATTACTAGAGGTCAGGGGTCGCCATGATGGCGGATAGAGGGGTCAGAAGTCTGCCTGAAACGCGAACTTTGAACTGTCCCCTCCCAGTGGACGCGGAGATCGTCTCCATCGACACCTTCAACAAGTCGCCCCCAAAGCGGGGCCTGGTTGTGGGGATCACGTTCATCAAGGTATCCAGCCTCCCTCCACCTGCCCATTCCCTTCTCCTCACACGCACACGGCGCATCCCCCTGAGTCTCACCCAGATGCCCCTTGGTGCCGCTCCTCTTTCCTGAGGCCGGTTTCCCATCCCAGGATTCAGGGGACAAGGGCAGCCCGTTCCTTAACATTTACTGCGACTATGAGCCTGGCTCTGAGTACAATCTTGACTCCATTGCCCGTAAGTGTGGGCTCCGGGGAAGGAGGGATGGGGAAGATGGGAGGGGGGGACCTGTCAGGTCCCCGGTGTCTGTCTGCGTGTGCTCCCCTTACAGAGAGCTGCCTGAACCTGGAACTCCAGTTCACTCCTTTCCAGCTGTGCCATGCAGAGTATGTAAGCCACAGGTGTATTACAATAGTGTGTGTGTGTGTGTGCATGTGTGTAGGGGAGGAGGCTGCAGCAAACGAGGCAGCAAACCTACCAGAAGAGTGTCAGACTCTCGTTTTGTTCTTTTTTTTTTTTTTTTTTTAACAATGTTTTTAATGTTTATTCATTTTTGAGAGACACAGCGTGAGCGGGGAAGGGGCGGAGAGAGAGAGACGCAGAATCTGAAACAGGCTCCAGGCTCCGAGCTGTCAGCCCAGAGCCCGACGCGGGGCTCGAACTCACAAACTGTGAGATCCTGACCTGAGCCAAAGTCGGACGCTCAACTGACTGAGCCACCCAGGCGCCCCTCTTGTTTTGTTCTTTAGAGCACGGTGCTTTTAAGGTCGCTATTTAGATCCTCTGAGCGCTAACTGAGCACCTGTGTCCTAGACATCGAGAACGCTCAGGTTCTGGGGTTCTCGACTTGGACTCTCAAGGACCCAGAGGGGCGAAGTTTTCTGGAGTCGTAAGCTCTGAGATTCCAAGATCTGAAAGCTCTGCTGTTTGGCAATTCAGAGATTTCGTGATGATAAAGTCGTTCTTCTATTTCATAGTCTCGTATTTCAAGGAGGTGGAATACAGACCATCTGGGATATGAGGTTCTAGAACCCCAAAATATGAGAATTCCAGTCTAGAGCTCCAGATTCCATTCTAGGACATCGGTGGTCTAGCACAGCCCTTGGCAAAGCTTTTCTGCTAAGGGCCGGTCTTTATCATAACAACTGAAGTCCGCCATTGTAGGAAGAAGGCAGCCATCGATACTATGTCAATGAACGGTGTGGCTGTGCTCTAGTACAACTTTATTGACAAAAATCGGTAAGTTGGATTTGGTCAGAAGGTCATAGTTTGCCAACTTCTGGTCTTAACAGGTGAGAATTCTAGACACTGATGTTCTGGATTCTAGGATTTGGATGTTGCGCCATTTTACGAGTCGGAACATCCACCGTGGCAATTTCTAAAAGTTCTGGTATTTCAAAGGAGACAGGAAACAGAACTTGGGGAACAGTGGAGTTCTAGATTAAAGAGTTTCTAGCGTTCTGGGTTTCTGCGACCCTTTCTAGAGCTCTCCACGTTCCATTCCTGAACCCACGTCCAGAATGAGGACTCCAGCAGGCAAGGAAGGGCTCTAGAAACAGAACGTTTCTATGATTCTAAGGTTGGAAAATTCTATACGTGGACTCTACCTCACAGGCATTCTAGACTTCTTTGCTTTCAGGGTCCAGGTTGGGAACCAGCTGGACACAGTGTTTCTCCTGAGTGGGAATGACCCGGCCATTCATCTCTACAAGGAGGTGAGGCAGAGTGGGGTGTGGCAGGCAGAGCCCTGCTCTCTCGGGCTGCCATGGGCTGGTGCGGGGTCTGCGCATGAGACTGGCCACCGACACGTTTCAAGTCAGGGGGGTCGGTCTTCGTTCCCCCAGAACGAGGGGCTGCATCAGTTTGAAGAACATCCCGTGGAAAACCTCTTCCCGGAGCTCACGAATCTGACCAGTAGGTAAGAGAGCCCCCGAAAGAGGCCAGCGGGGCCCCAGGGAGGCGGCCTCCGAGAAATCAAGTGGTGGCAAAGCCCTCAGGGACGGTAGAGACAGAGATGACCTCAGAGAAACTGGGCAGGGGAGGTGAGTTCAGAAAACTCCGGCCATACACACGAAGTCGATGGCGAGTGGTGATCCCAGAGAGAAATCAGGCCCAGCGGGGCCCCAGGGCGACAGGAAGGGGGCGGAGGCTCCTGGGGAGGCAGAATGTGGGGCCAGTATCTGATGATGCCCTCCGACCCCTCCGTCCACCTGCCCACCCACCAGCGTCCTCTGGCTTGATGTCCACAATCTCCCCGGCACATCCCGGCGACTCTCCGCTCTGGGTTGTCAGAGCGGTTATGTCCGAGTTGCCCACGTGGACCAGCGAAGTCAAGGTGATGGGCGGGATGGGGGCCGGGCAGGGGGCGGGGTGGGTGGGCGGGCGGGGCCCTGAGTCCTCGCCCCCCCCCCCCCCCCCCCCCCCCACACAGAGGTTCTGCAGACATGGACCATCCTGCAGGACGGCCCCATCTCCCGAGTGATCGTGTTCAGCCTCTCAGCCCCCGAGGGTGAGCTCTGGGGTGGGGGGTGACCCTGCAGACTCAGCTCCCCACTCCCAGATTCACACCCCTCTCCCGGAGCGTCCAGCCCCTGCCCATCCCTCCCATGCTCCCTCCCTCCCCTCTGTGCCCTCACATTCATTTCAGCCACTTGCCCCTGGATTCTAATCTGCGTCCTTTACCCTGGAGTTGACCTGCTTTTCCTTCGTCTAACCGTCAGCCCTCACATCGTGACTTCCTCTGATCCCCCTCTCTGGCCTCCTCACCCTGTCTCTTGCTGCTGTCTGCCCCCAAGCTTTTCCTGGGGACTCAGCGCTGCCCCCCCCAACCCAGGCTCCCCTCTCCTGCCTGTTGCTCTGTTCCTCTTGCTGTGGCCTGCCCTTCTCTGACGGCTCCGTTCGCCTGACCCCTGCGGGCTGCCTTCCGCCCCTCGGGTCGTTTCTTACTCGTCTCCCTCCCTGTCTGGTCTCACACCTGTTCCTCCCATCATCTTGTCTAACCGTGAAGCTTCCCTTCATAGCACGGCGGAGGTGGGGTCTCCCTCCTCTTTTAGAGCGGTGGGGCAGGGGAGGAGGGATGGCGAGGAGGAGCCTGGAGCCTGTCCCCTCAGGCCCCGCCCCACACGTGTCCCGTCTCCAGAGACCCAGGACCGGCCACAGCGGGAAGAGTACAGCGTGCTCGTGGCCAGCATGTTGGAACCAGCCGTGGTATATCGGTGAGCGGCCCGCACGGCGGACTCACAGGGGCGGCCTGACCTCCTGCTCCCGCACCGGGTCGTTCTCAGGAGGAAGCCCCCTCGGGTGAGGTTGTCCAGGGCTGGGCAGGTAAAGGTGATCGTGCCCCAGGGAGGGGGAGTGTGAGTGTTTGGGTCTAGAACTCGTAGCGGATCCATCGAAGCCTTGGGACGGGAACACAGATGTCTGCTCCCCCTGGACGAGCGTGTTGGCAAACGTTTAACTGCGGGCTCGTTGGGTGAGGAAGCCCTGACTTGTAGCGTTTGCCAGCTTCTGGGGTGTAACTTACTCCCGCTATGGCGGATTTTGAGCCGCCAACGCAGTGCTAGCCCGCGGTGGCTCACCTGATGTCCGAGCTGGAACCCAGCTCCCAGGCTCCAGGGAGGCGATGTGGGTGTCCGGACCGGAGGCCAGGGTGTCACCAGAAGGAATAAAGTGGGTTTCCGTTCGGGAGGGAGATGGCCCCGCCTCCAGGGGACAGAGATGGGAGTCCATATCGGTTGACAGTCTGCGTGAGCAGTCTGACGGACGTGAAGACGTCCGGGTCGGAGACGAGGGTGCCGAGGAGGAGCGGTGTGTCCAGACCTGAGCAGGGGAGCGGTGTGGGCCAAGGGCGGCGGGTGCCGTGGTGCGACCGCGGTCCCCCCCACCGCCTCCGTGACCCTCAGGGACCTGCTGAGCCGGGGCCTTGAGGACCAGCTTCTCCTGCCCGGCAGTGACCAGTTTGACAGCGTCCTCTGTGGCCTGGTCACTGATGTAGATCTGGACGGGCGGCCCGAAGTCCTGGTGGCCACCTACGGACAGGTGGGACCGGAGGGGTGGGGCTGCGATCCCCGGCCCCCTCCCGCCGCCCCGCGTCCCCGCGCGGTCCTAACCCCTCGCCCCCCTGCACAGGAGCTCCTCTGTTACAAGTACTTCGGCCCGGAGTCCGGGCTCCCCGAGGCCGAGCGGGGGTTCTGCTTGGTGTGGCAGAGAGACTTCTCCAGCCCACTGCTGGCGCTGGCACACGTGGACCTGACCGGGGACGGGCTGCGGGAGCTCGCCGTGGTCTCCCTGAAGGGCGTGCACATCCTGCAGGTAGCTGGACTCTTCAGGTCGGGGGGGGGGGCCCCCCTTGCAGCGGCGCCTGGGGTGGGGGTGTTTGCTCAGCCGCCTTCTCGAGGGCGCGTTCCCGCGGGAAACACGTCAGAGGCCACGGGGAGTAGCCACGCGAGGAGGTGGCCTCAAAGGCCCGACCCCACGGGAGCCCTGCAGCCCGAGCCCGTCGTTCGCACAAAGGGATCGTTGGCTGCAGGCCCCCTCTTGGAGGAGGGAGTGGCCTGTTTCTGGGAGGAGGTTCTCGCTGGCCAAGGACAGTCCCAGGAGCAGAGGCCGCTGGTTGGGGGGGGGGGGGGGCACCATCATGGCAAAGGGGGTTCCGACGTGGCATCTGTCAGCCCCAGCCCGCCCTCAGCCTCCTGACTTCAGCCCTCGGTTCCTCGTGCTTTGTCTGACTCTGTCCCTTCGCTGTGGCTTCACCCAGATCTGCCCCCACCCCCCGCCCAGTGATCTAACCTCTGCCCTCCCGCAGGGCCCGCTCTCCTCACTGCCTCGCCCTCTCCTCTGTGTGCAGCCGGCTGCGCTCCGGCTGTGGTCTGACCTCCCCCTTGCTGTCGCGTTCTGACTCCCGAACGACGTTTCCTACCCTCGTCCCGTAGCCTCCCCTCCGGGCCTCCCGCAGCCAGCCTCCGGCTTTCCACCAACGTCTAACCTTGGACCTTTCCACTTTGGCCTAACCTCGGAACTTTCTGTTGTGGTCAGGCCCTTGAGCTTTGGTCTGTTGTCCGGCCTTGGGCTGTACTTTGACCCCTGCCATGGCGGCCTAACTGCTGTAACCCCTGTTGGGGTCTAGTCGCCAACCGTTCAAGGGTCCGAGGTCCAACCCGGAACCCCCCCATTCCGTTTCACCTCCAACTAATGCAGTCTCCCCTCCAGCCTTTTCCCTGTGGCGCCCCCCCCCCCCCCGCCACCGCTCAGGCTGCCGTCCGCCTTTGGCTCCCAGTGTGGTGTTTGCCTTGGCCGTATCTCCGGTCTGCCTCCAAGACGTCTCTGTATGGTCTAGCCTGGGTTCTTTCTCCTGGAAGCTAACCATACCGCCTCCTCTGCTCTTTGCTTGGGTCTTTTCCTACCATCTGTGCCTCAATGGAATGGTCTAGGTTTGACCTCGGAAGAAAGGGGAACCGTTGGACCCCGGCGGAGAGGTCGCAGGTTAGACCCTAATGGAAAGGGCGTAGGTTTGATCCTAGTGGAAGAGGCTGTGGTCCGACTGTGGGAGAAAGGACTTCCTTCCCTGTGGTCTGACCATCCCTTCACCAAGGCCTCATCCCTCATTCAGGCCGTCTCACTGTAATCTCTTCTGCCCTTTCTGCCAGGGTCTAGCCTCAGACGCTCCAGCCAGGGTCGCACTCTGTCCCTCAGGTGATGCCACATTGCTGCCTTTTTCACTTTGGTTGGTTCTTTCTCTGTCCCGTTGGCCTACTCTTTGTTGGCAAGGTCTCGCCTCAGTCTCCCCCACTGTGGTCTAACCTCGGCCTCGCCTCCCATTCAGGGCGGTCTGTCTCCCATGTTTTGGTCCTCCCCTGTCCTTTCCGAGTCCTGACCTCAGACCCGTCCGATTGGGTGCCGTCTTTGTTCTTCCCACTGGGAATTCACTAAAGGCCGTCCCCCTGGGTCTGACCTTCACCCCTTCACAGGGACCTGTTCCCCCACCCCACCGGCCGGTCTGCGCTCCGGCCTCCCGCCGCAGCCGAGCTCCGGGCCTGTGGGATTGTCTCCTCCACACCATCCTGAGTGATCTAACCTGCACCCTGGCTGCCCGGTCTCAGCCCTGCCTTCCTCTTGTCCCCCACAGCACAGCCTGGTCCAGGCCTCGGAGCTGGTCCTGACCCGGCTTCGGCATCAAGTGCAGCAGAGGAGACGACGTCAGTCACAGAGGCCTGGGGACGGGGTGGGTCCAGAGCCTGCTGAGACCCCAGGCTCCTGAGCTCCTACCCACTGCCCGCCCCAGACGCTGGTGTGGTTCACTGGGGCCGTCACCTCCAGCCATTCGTGGTGGGGAAGCATCCTGAAGGAGAGGATGGTCTCCCCACACCCTCCAGTGGTAGAGCTGTGGGTTCCTGCTCTGGCTGTGCCCCGTTATGCCCTGTGAGCCTGGCTGACACACTCCTTCTCTGTGCCTCAGTGTCCCCATTTGGAAACGGGATGATCCCCCCCCAACTCCTGCCCCTCTTCCGCCCCTAATGAGAGTTGGTGAGCCAATGATTATTTATATGTCCGGAAGGACCAGACTTTTGAGTTGCCTTCATTCTCTTTCTTTTGTTCCGGGAAGCGGTTGGTGAGTGCCTGCTCTGTGCCAGGCTCCGCGCTGGGTGCTGGAGGAATGGAGGGAGGGGAATATGGGGAGAGAAAAGGCCAAGGTTAGACCTAGAAGTGGGCCCGAAGGGAGATCACGCTGTAGACCTCAGAGAACGGAGTAGGAGGTTAGAAACGAGGCCCTGTCATAAAGGCTGGAGTGAAACCAACGTGGAAAAGACTGTAGAATCCAACAGAAAGGACTGAGGTTGGACCCCAGGGGAGAGCCCCGGGTCTGAGGTTAGACCCAAGTGGAGAGCTCTGGGTCCAGTTAGACCCTGGTGGGAAAATACAGAGCTTAAGCCTCAGAGGAAAGGATATGGGGGGAAGGACTATTGTGGGGAAGCTATGGTCACATTGCAGCAGAGGGTTTGAGGCTAGACGCCCCCCGCCCCCGGATGAATAATGCCGAGGTTGGACCCTCACAAATGACTGTGGTTAGACCTCCCCAGCAGAACGCAAGTGAGTTTAGATCCCCTGAGATGAGACCCAGGAGGCAAAGACCCGGGGCTTGCCATGTTGGAAAGGACAAAGGTTAGACACGATTGAAAAGCCCCGGAGATCCAGGGACCAGGGAGTTTGAGGCGGAGGGGTGATGACTTCCCTGGCCACTGCTCTGCCGGCTGTGTCCTCTTCTCCAGCAAGGTGGGGGAATCGGGGACCTGGATCTCGGGGACCAGCAGAGGGCCGGACCGCAAGAGCCCTTGCCCTCCCCCACTGCAGGCCAGGAATAGACTCTGGGGCAGGACGGTTGGGGGATGATTCCTGAGGGGGATCTGGGCTGGTGGGGAGGGTGGGCCCTTTCCTCGCCGTGGCAGGGTTTGGGTGGGACTCCCGCTTCCTGGGGCCCCAGGGGCAGGCCCCACAGTCCCGGCCATCCGTACCACCTCCTACCACAGAAGCCCACCCAACAGCCTGACCACCCACGCCGGCCGTGAAGGCCCAAGCCACCGGGTGGGTTTTTAGGAGGCAGGAGCCCCACCGGCTCTTGGCCGCTCTCGCCGTCTCCCAGAACCCAGGCCCAAGCGTGGGAAACGGCCCGGAGCTGCGTTGGCTCCCTCGTCCCCTGGCAGCCTGCCCAAGGGGTGTCCAGCCTGGACTGGCGGTGGGCACCGATCGCTGGCAGGAGCGAGGTCTCCTCCCTCCTGCTGCCCGCCTGCCGAGGCGGAGAGCTGCCATCCCCTCCCGTCCTAGGCAGGAGTGGACCGCGGCACGGAATCGAAGTGAGCGTCGTTCGTGATGGCAGGGGTCTGTGAGGCGTGTGCGCCCCTGTGTGCCCGCTTCAGCACTCGCGATTTTGTGCCTGCAGGAGCCTGGGACGCTCGCCTGGTCCTTTGCAGTTTCCTTTCTCACTTCTTACTTGCTCCTCAGCGCGGGGCAGCGCGCAGTGTGGTGGCTTAAGGGTGTTGGAGCCTGGAGCCATGCTTGGCCGCTCTGTGCCTCAGTTTCCCCATCTGCAAACCGAGGCCGGCCGCAGCGACTTCGCAGGGCTGTTAGGAGGACTAGCGGTGTCAAGGCAGGGCAATCACTTAACAAGAAAATTTGCAACACCGTGCCACGGGGCACTTTGAATGGCAGCTGCTGTTACTATTACTGATGGGTGTGCCTTTGTGGTTGTTGCCGGCTTGCTTTGCGAGGTTCTGTGTCAGCAGGCGCGGCATGTGAATTTGGATCTAACTCTGGCTAAACATTCTTGCCCGCCCCGCCCCCCCCCCCCGTTCTGTGAGCCTGTAACTATTTGTAGCTGTTTTTTTGCTTCTTCGGCCCTTGTACGGATCAGTGTGTGTTGGGGAGGGCGAGGATGCTTGTGAATGACCCTCGGCACCCCACCTACCGCACACACTCACAGACACACACACACACACACACACACACGCACGCACGCACGCGTCTGCCGCTGTCCCCTGCCTGTAGTGCTGAAACTGCAGGGTGGGTGGGAGGCTTGGGCTCCCCCCAACCTCCTCTTGTCCAGGCCCCTCCCCAAGCCTCCCCCGCCTGTCGCCTGCCTCCCTTCTCCCCGCCTCCTCCTCCTCCCCTCCCTCTCCGGCTCCTCCTCCCTCCCAGCACTCTCCCCCGTCCCTCCTCCTCCCTCTCTCCTGACTCCCCCTCCCCCGTGTCCCTCCCCCCTCTTCCTCTCCTCCTTCTATCCCCTCTCCCTCCCCTCCTCCCCGGCTCTCCTCTCAGTCTCCAGCTTCTCTCTCTCTCTCTCTCTCTCTCTCTGTCTGTCTGTCTCTCTCTCTCTTTCCCTCTCTGTCGGGCGGAGGCGCCCACCACCGCCAGCCCAGTGCTAGGGGGACCTAGTCCAGGCTGTAGCTGCAGGTAAGAGACCCCCAGTTCTGGGAGGGGGGGGAGCGTGGAGGAAGGACGGTATTGCCCCAGGCGGGTGGAGGGGGACATGTGAGGAGCCAGGAGCCGCTCTTCCCTGAGCTCATTTATGGGGGGTGGGGGGCTGCATATTCCGGGCGGGGATACCGGGTCCCCTCTGTGGGGTGGAGGCACCGCCAGCAGCCAACATCCTCAGCCCCTCCTGGGTCGCAGGGAGCCTGGCCGGCTGGGGAGGGGGTGCCTCCTGGGTACTGAGGGAGCGAGAACACCCCAGCCCGTCTGGGGCAGCCCCCCTTCGTGTTCTCTCCCTCCGCCCCCGCCTTCCTGCGTCTGGGTCTCGTCTGTCTCTCCACATCTCTCGGGGGTCCTGTCCTGCACAGTCTGGCTGCCTCTCTGAGTCCCTTCCCCTGTGTCTCTGTCTGTCAGTCCCTCACTCCCGCCTCTGTCCCTCTGTGTCCCTCTGTGCCTGGGTCTGTTCTGTGTCTTTCGGGGGCTCTGTCTCTAAGTCCTTGGTTTCTTTCTCTCTGCCTTCCTCTTTCGCCATCTGTGTCTCTCCCTCCCTCCTGTCTCTGCTCCCCGGTGTCTCCGACTCTCCTGTCTCTGCGGGTCTCTCTCTCTCTCTCACACACATACACTCTCTCTCATTCTCTCTCTCTCTCCCCTGCCCCTCTCCTTCTCTCCATCTCTGTCTGTAGGTATGCGGTCTCTGTTTCTCTGCCTCTCTCTCTTCCCTGGTAGCGGGTTCACTCTCCTCCTACACACCTCTGTCCCCGCCCCTGGCAAGGGGGAGACCTGGAGGAAGAAGATCCCCACCCCCTGCAGAGTGGGCTCCCCCAGAAGCCAAGGAGTCCCCCAAACTCCTCTCCCTTCTGCCCAGCTCCCGCCCATCCTCTCGGCAGGCTTGTGCCCGTCCCTCCCCTGAGGACAGAGCCCCTCTCCTCCCTCTTCTGGTAGACTGGACGGTCCTTCCCGCAGTCTGACTTCTGTACCTTGTCTGCCGGTTGCCCAGTTCATCGCTTGCCTCATCCATCCTTTTGACAGTTGCCGAGCGCTTTTCCTCCGCCAGGCACAGCACTACGTCCTGGGGTGGATCAGGCCGGTCCTTTCTGCAGCCTTACCTCCATCGCTCTCAGGGCAGACCAGCCTCAGACCCATCCCTCGTGGGGGTGGATCCCCATCCCCCGGGGGCTCCCGGAGGGCCCCTCTGAGTCTGGAAGTCTCTGGCCAATACATCCTCCTCTTTCCTGGGGGGGAAGGGGACCCAGAAAGGTGGGCGAGAGTGAGTGACAGGGGAGAGGTGTGAGCCCAGCCACAGCAGCCCCCGCTGTGATGGGGTGAGGTCCTCCAGTACCCACGTGGGGCCCGATGGGTTCAAAGGAGCACCTCGTTCGGAGTCCCATGCCTTGACTTTCCATCCTCCCCTGCCCCGGAGTGGAAGCTGCCTGACCTGGCCAAGCTCTCTTCTCCCTCCGGACCTCGGTTTACCCATCCGTGCATGGTAGGCCTGAGCACTGAGACTATGTGTGACCCCCAGGCTGGGACACGGTTCACCCAGGAGCAGGAAGTGGGTGTGTTTAGAAGCTCGGGTCCCCACCTCTGAAGTCTCTCCGAGGAGCGCAGCAGGCAAGCCCTGGCCCCACCAAGCACAACCAGGAACCATGACCTCGCTCACCAACGTGAGGGAGGGAGGGAGGGGGCCCCACCCTGCAAGGCCAGACTGGACCCCCTTCCCTTACGCTTGCAATCCCGCCCTAGACAGGAGGTGTCTGAGACCCCGAGAGGCATGTGAGGCAGAACCGGGGCGCTCACCACTGGCCCAGCTGGGCACCTGCCCACGAGGGTGGGGGGACATCGGGAGATGCTATCATCTGCCCTCCGGACTCCTACCCTGGCCTCCACCCGATCCTTTTGCCCCCGGATTCTAAACCCAGATTAGGTTTCAGGGCTGCTGGTGGACGAAGAGAGGCAGAGACAGGCGCCTTCAGCAGAGAAAGTCCAGCTGTCCCCAGCGACAGGGCTCAGACCTCTTGGTCATTCATTTCACAAATATTTATCTCGTGCTTTCTCTTCCTGACCGCCCCCCCCCCCCACTCCCCTAAGGCCTCAGGTTTTGCAGGAAAAGGGATTGAGCCAGGATGCTTTGCCCATCCCCTGGGAAGGAGGGCAGGCATGAGGACCCCCCCCCCCTCGTTGGCTCACTGGCCTCCCTTGAGGACCTCAGCAGGAGGGACAGGTGGTTAGATGTGAGGGGGCACTTTCCAGGCCTTGGCCCTCCCATGAGAGAGGGAGTTAGATGCTTGAGATGAATTCCTGACTCCCAGGTGGCCCTTGTTTCTCCTGGAAGCCGGGGAGGAGGGAGGGAGAAGAGCGTGAGTCTTTGCTTTGGATCCTGGTGGGTTTGTAATTATGCCTAAGTTGTTGCTAATTAGGGGGCTGCTAATTAGATGTATCATTAGGGGCCTTGCTGAGGGGGCTAATTGTGCGGTGGCCCTTTAAGAATCCCCCCTCTCCCCGCCCCCACACACACACACACTCCTCAGGGATGTTCTGCCAACATTCTGCCTCCCTCCCCCAGAGGAGCGGGCTCCCAGCCCTTGAGTACGTGGGCGTGTTTTGGGGGCAGGCTGTGGGTTAGACTCGGAGAAGAACTTCCAGACAGAAATGGAAGTTACTGGGAGAACTGAGGTTGGTGGCCAAAGCAGCAGGGGTCAGACCTCTCCTTCTAGTCTCAGTCCCCCCCCCCCCCCAACCTTTTTTCAAAACAGGCTACTGGGTTACCATGGCAACATAAGAGTGGGGCCCAGGAGCTGGGAGTTGGGGCGACTCCCAGAGAGAGAAATGAAGCCAGCGTTGGTGCTGGGGGCTTTGAATGAGTTTTTAACCTCTCTGAGCCTTGGCCCTCTCATCTATGAGACCCCTAGGGCCTCGCCAAAGTGGGGTGGTGTCATTTTGAACAGAGAGCTCAGGGAGGGTGATGTCTGAGCAGAGAATTGGAGAAGAGAGGGTGAATACGTAGGGAACAGGGTCTCAGGAAGGGGGAAACAGCAGGCGCAAAGGCCCTGAGGCAAGAACTTGTCTAGCATGCGAGGAACCCGGAGGTGGCCGGGGCCAACGAGTAAGGGGGGACAGGGAGAGAGATGAAGCCAGAGAGGGAATGAGGAGGCCAGACCACACGAGACCTTGTCCAGGGCGAGGGCCGCAGTGTTCTGAGACTCAGTTGGGAGAGACACCTGCCAGCATCTCAGGGAAAGATGTGAGCCAGAGACCCTCCAGCAGTCTCTCTGCAGCCCCACCTCAGACAGACAGACAGACAGACAGACAGACAGGCAGACGGACATCCCAGCACCCGCCAAAGCCCAGGCCCTGCACAGGAGCCCTCTGAGGCCACCAGACTCAGCTCACGAACTTAGGGCCTCCAGCCCCTGGCCTCACCCACTAAATCATCCGGTCTGTGTCACTTGGGGCCTGGCTTCATCCATCCATCGTCCGTCTGTGGGATTCGTCTGTGTGGCCGGGCGGGTCCGCAGCCTGTTCTCTTTTCAGGGCCACATAACGTTCCGCTGCCCCCCCCCCCCCCCGGGGCTGTACTTCTCCGTCTGCTGCTGACAGGCATCCCTTCCGGGCGGGTTCCGGAGGGGCGCTGTTAGAAACAAAGCGGCGGCCGCGGACATTGTCGTGTGTGTGGCTTTCCGGCAGACACGCGTCCTAGGGCTCCTGGGTGCCCAGGTACCTGGGGGCGGAAACTGCCGGCCAGTAGGGTGCAGGACGTCCAGCCGCAACTCCCCGAAGTGGCGAGAGCAACGTCCACTCCGCCAGCAGCCTGTGACGCCCGTCTGTCTTCATCCTCCTCTCCCGGTCTCTGTCTGGCGCTCTCTGTCTCGTTGCGTCCCTGTCCCTCTGTGGCTCCCTCTGCCCCCACCCTCCCCCTCCCAGCCCCCAGCAAGCCTCGGGGGGGTGGGGGGGGGTGGGTCCCCGTGTGAATAGGCGGGGTGTGTGCCCCTCCCCCACACTTCTTCCTCCTCCCCCACAGGACCCGACACCCTCCATGGCTCCCCTGGCCTTAGTGGGGTTTGCACTCCTCCTGGGGACGGCCCCGTGCTCGGGGGCGGCCACCCCCACCCCCTCCCTGCCACCTCCCCCCGCCAATGACAGCGATGCCAGCACAGGGGGCTGCCAGGGCTCCAACCGTTGCCAGCCGGGGGTCCTGCTGCCCGTTTGGGAGCCTGATGACCCGTCGCTGGGTGACAAAGCGGCGCGGGCCGTGGTCTACTTCGTGGCCATGGTGTACATGTTCCTGGGCGTGTCCATCATCGCCGACCGCTTCATGGCGTCCATCGAGGTCATCACGTCCAAGGAGAAGGAGATCACCATCACCAAGGCCAACGGCGAGACCAGCGTGGGCACCGTCCGCATCTGGAACGAGACCGTGTCCAACCTGACGCTCATGGCCCTAGGCTCCTCAGCCCCCGAGATCCTGCTGTCTGTCATCGAGGTCTGTGGCCACAATTTCCAGGCGGGCGAGCTGGGCCCAGGCACCATCGTGGGCAGCGCCGCCTTCAACATGTTTGTGGTCATTGCCGTGTGCATCTACGTCATCCCAGCCGGCGAGAGCCGCAAGATCAAGCACTTGAGAGTCTTCTTCGTCACTGCCTCTTGGAGTATCTTCGCCTACGTCTGGCTTTATCTCATCCTTGCCGTCTTTTCCCCCGGCGTGGTCCAGGTGAGCAAGGACCCATCGGCACCTGCTCGGGGCACGTACGTCGGCAGAATCCAGAGGGGTGGCTCCCTGGGCCCGGAGACTTGGTTCATGCGTTCGCAGCAATGCATGCTCACATCGGGGAGGGCCACCAGGTATGGTTGTGCAGGTTGTGCACAAGGGCGGTGGGCCGGGGAAGGCAGTTTGGGGCCGGAGTCCATCGAGTGCGCCCACGCCATGTCTGGAGGGCTCCCGCAGCACCTGGAAAGGGCTCATCTGCCCAGAGGGGGTGGCATTTTGCAATATACCCGTCCAGAAGGAATGGCTTGAGCTCTTCTAACAGTGCCATACGTGTTGACAGAGTCCTTGTGATCTCTGCAATGGCTACCACAGGTCACAGCCTAGCTAGGTATTTGCCAGCTATGGAGTCGTGGCTCGCAAAATTCACTCATCATTCATAATCGATCTCTGATGTTAGGATAATTTATGCCGCATCGCTGAAATTTACACTCGCTCCGGTCCAACGCGGGTATGAACCGAGTCCGCTGCAAAGACCACTTTGCACGATTCATTCCAACAGTGAGACACAAGCTGGCCCCACCGCTCCGTAATTTACACCCCCCCCCATTCACATAACCAGTCGCCTCTCGTCTGTCCAGCGTCTTAACCGCGCTCCGCTAAGTCTCCCTGGAAGACGTTTGCCTAATTCATTTCCCACAACCCCAAGACTGCCACCTACATCTGCATAATTTATTTATGGGTCTGGCCCAGTTCGTTCACACACATGCATAATTTATTTGAGGCTACCCAGAATTCCTTCACACATGTGCGCAGCCTAGTCATGCAGATCTGTCAGGTTTTGCCAATTATAGGGGCATGTCCAGGGAGGAGCTGAGTGTTAGAAGCATAAAAATTCCTTGCAGGTGTTATAGAAACAGAACCGAGGGACCAGCAACCGCAGAGAGCTGAGGGAGAGATAGTAGCACCAGAAGACAGGGATGAGAGAGGGAGAGAGACAGTTGGCTGCAGTCGACTCACGGCTGTGATGGTGAGTTTCCTGGCTGCCAGGGTGAAAAGTACAGAAGGAGACATCACACAGTTCTCAAGCACGATTCAAGAGGACGGCGTCCTGACTCGGGTTTTCAGAGTGGTCTCTGATGAGGATCTAGAGCAGAACTAGGACAAGGATTTTAGACACCATGAGCCAGCCGGAGGAGGGATAGGAATATCCCTTTGCTGATGTGAAATACTTACGTAATAAGAGAGAGGTCTTCGAGAGTCTCGCGGTTCGGTGCGTGGAGCCCAGAGCCAGACACGCTCGAGTCAAACCCCACTTCTGCTGCTTCCCAGCTGTCCCTTGGGCGAGTTCCTCACCTGCTTTGTGCCTCAGTTTCCCCACCGGTCACCTGGGTGTCGTCATAGTACTGACGTCAGAGGGCCGTGTGGGGATCGAATAAACCACACGTGGAAGAGCTCGGGACAGCAGGCCTAGCACAGAGTAAATGCGAGCTATCCCTCCCATCACTAAACTTGCCTGTGCCGTTGGCCAAAGGAATCTCTAATAGAACAATGCGCGTTTCCACATGTAAGCGCTTCGGCAGGGCCACTTTAAAAGTCGTGATGTGGGAGCCAGCTGCTGGCACCTACTTATCCTGAACAAGTTTGGGCTCAAGAGGAAGAAAAAGATCAGGAAACAAGCCATGCAAGGAGTTGAGCAGAGGAGTGGATAGCTACAAGATTAAAAATAAGCGTATTCAGCATAGATTAAACCATACAGGAAAATACTTTGTATATATATAACAGAGTTGAGTTCTAGACTCCGACGATTAGAAGATTTTTCACCTGAGAGAGAGAGCGAGCGAGCTCATGCGCACCAGTGGGGGAGGGGCAGAGAGAGAGAGAGAGAGAGAGAGAGAGAGAGAGGGAGAGAAAGAATCCCAAGCAAGGTCCTGTGCTGTCGGTGCAGAGCCCGATGCCCGGGCTCGAACTCACGAAACGTGAGATCATGACCTGAGCTGAGATCAAAGAGTCAGCCGCTTAACCGACCAAGCCACCCAGGCGCCCCTCCAGCAGGAGGTTTCCAAGTGAGGCAGGACGTGGGACAATTCTGCATTGTGTGGGACCACCCCATGAGTCGCTGGATGTCGCCATCTGGGACCGCATCCCCCTCTCCGGTCACGGTGGCAACCCACAAACACCCCTAGATTGGTGAGAGCCCCCCCCCCTCTTGGGGGTGTCCTTGTGCACTGAACCTGTCTCACTTCTCCCGCAGGGTAGGCAGGTCCGTGGGCCCATCCGCAGTGGGTGCCCTGGAAAAAAGGATGTGAGCCTCCTAGAATCCACCTTTTCTTTACCTGCAGGGAGGAATGCACATCTTCGAGGTTTGAGATGGTCTTCTGATTACGGGAGCATTCCCCTGCCCTACACATACATAGTGGCCAGTTCCGAGGCCAGAGTTCACGTTACACCTTGTGTAGAAAATTCAGCTGCCTTTCACAAACCTGCCTGCTGGCTTTGTGAGGCTCCTGCCGGCTCTCTGGGCCATCAGGAAACCCAGCGACCAGGGTGGGGGTGTGAGGATTGGTTGGATCTTCAAAGATAGTTTGCCTTCTGGGCCCGGGTTAAAGATCCCTCGGGGGGCCAGCTGATGGTAAACTTTCACCTCTTCCTCCTTATCTTTACTGAGGAGGGTGACCATGGGCGGAGGAGTCCTGGACCTGCATAGGTAGAATAACGGTCATGTTAATTTTGAGCTCTTTTCCATGTGTCCGGAACCGACAGCGCTAAGCGCTAGGGGTACATAAGCAAATCCAGCCTTGGGGCCGTTCCCATTTTTACAGGCAAGAGGCTGAGCCACACTTGCCGCTTCTAGAAGCAGGATCTGAACTCTGCATTGCCTTGTCTCTCTGGGGAGATACAGCATGTAAACACAGGAGGAGCTTGTTTCATGGGGCTGTGATAGGAGCCAGACTTGTGCCTCTTTGAGAGTCAGAGTCCCGTCCCTAAGGGCCAAACGGATTCTAAGGAAGGAGAGTCCGGCAAAGGCTGCATTGGCGGGCGGGCGGGCGGGGGGTGGGGGGGGTGGCGGAATCGGGGAGCCTGGGGAAGAGGTGAGCGGCCCCGGGTGGCGGGTGGGGTTTGGACGAGTCCGGGCGTCCCAGGTGAGGAGGGGTGCAGGGGAAACCGAGCGGGGCGAAAAGGCCGGAGGGAGAGACAGGCAGGAAGGGACACAGGCTCCGCCCCCTGGGAAGAGGCACACACCAGCCGACACCGAACGAGACGGAGGCAGGGAGAGGAGACGACGGCCTGGACAGAGAGACAGAGGGAGACGGGGCGAGGCGGAGACGAGCCGACCGGAGAGCGCAGCAGAGAGGGGCGAGGCGGGGCGGGGACCGAGATGGGGACGGACGCGGG